TTCAAAGAACCAGAATATATTTATTGGGCCTGATTTAAGCCCAATAGAAAAAATTTATGAACCTAACCCATTGGATATTTGAAGATCTTTTTAGTTATCCATAGCTCCAAAATTCAACTCCACTTTTTCCTTTCGTTTTTTTGCTCAATAAATCAGTTTTAGGGAGTGAAAGCTCATTTGGCCAGAAGTTGATCCAAAGGTTTATTTAATGTTTGTGGATCAGATATGCAAATTTTACAACATCAATGGAGATGAGTTTACTAAAAATCTTTAATGTCACGATCACATGTGTTAGAAATAAAAGAAATTGCATGACGATGTCGCAAATAAAACCGTCTATCATAGATTTTTATGGTATATGTAAAACCATGGTTATGGAGTCATAAGTGAAAAAAAATTAACAAAAAAGGATAGTGCTTCTGCTAGACAAGAGAGCAAATTATGTTCATTGATTTAACAAAGATTGTACTACTCCTACATATGCCAAACCATTAGATATAGCTACATTTTTATATCTAAACAGTAACAAATGAATCATACAAAATTACGCTGAATGTAAAATTTGGTGGAATGTAATGACGATTTACTGTAGGATTTTGTGAGTTAGTTAAGAATTAATTTAAATTATAATAGAAAATTTTGGCAAATATGACAGATTACTTAAGCAACGAGGTAACCAAAATTTTGTTTAGTTGAATAGCTATAATCATTGAAAATCTAAAGGTGACAAAAAAAAAATCATTGAAAAACTAAACAAGTAATTAATAGATTAATAAGTTTACTTATTTAAAATTAGTTTTATAAAAAAATTATTATTGTGTTCGCGGTGGATTTTGGATCCTTCATTAAGAGATAATGGATCTCTTGCCTCATATCTTGGGGAGCGTTTTAAAAATAGATGTGGAGCTCCAAGGAGCATGCGTGAATGTCTGCATGGTTTGTTATCCGCCGAAAAATAGTTATGATGATTTATAGAAATTCATTGTTATGATAGTTTTTGTGAGAACGACAAAAGATTTTCCTCCTGGATACTATTTAACGTTTAAGTCAGCCTACCACTAAAGAATAAGTTTATTTAAAAACTAAATGAAGACCATGTTCGAGTATCTACGTCACTGAAACACCTCGACCCGGCCTCTCTAAGCCACGGTCAAGGTTTTCCGTGTTCGGATCACTTTTTGGTCGAACATTTAGGTCTTAACCCATTTTAGGATCAATTGCCTCTTTAAGATTTATATCCTTAAGATCTTTACTACGACTCTCCCTCGTCGTTTCTATTAGATCCGTTCATACTTAACATACGCAGCGAAAAATACCTTATCATTCAAATCCTCTAACCGTTCTAAGTTCATTCACCTGAACTAGTCATTCTACCGGTTAACTTCATCCATGCCTTCGGATAGCCCTTTTAGCATAGTATAGCCTTAGCTGGAATCATTCGGTCTCAAGCGCTCATCCTATCTATTGGCCTCCGTTCGGCTTAAGATTTATTATACTCGGTCACGTCAAGCAAGTCTAAACATCCGGTTGTTCTCTAAACTAACCAATCTAGATCTAGCAAGTATCCAATCGATCTACAAGAAGGCTAGGCCTTACCTTGGCCAACGCGCTGTTCCAGTTTGACTCTGATCCTTTATTCATGTATCGGAT